TACGATTGATCTCTTTGAGCCTGAGCGGACGGTCCACTGCACCACCATGGATTTCCCATGCGTGCCCCACTGTACTTCACCAACATTTCAACAATTTTCCGCCCAGGCAGTTCATTAATTATCTTAGGTCCTATTTACTACATTGTCACTCAAACTTTACAATGATCACTCCCCAATCCACGTCTACTTAGCGAAGCAACATAATTTAAAACGATGGCGACAATGTTATATGGTTCAGACCTACCTCAATGAACTACAGGGTGAAAAGCATAGTCATGCGGCATCAATTCCTACCATGCAGTCCTACCGCAAAGAACTAAGTGCATAATAAAAACATAGGTAATGAAACATGATCAAGATGCAACTTGCCTTGGTACTGCTGGTTGAATTCTAAAGACTGATAATATTCTGCTTCGCACTTCGTGCGATCTATCGCAAAGAAGATAAACAAACATAAGCAAACATTTCAGAAAACCAAGAAGAACATGCGAAGAAAGAAGTCTCGGAAAAACCAAATGAACATACAACACACTTAGCTACCACAAAAATATTCTAAATGCAAAACAACATAAGCCTATGGTTCAAAAAGTGATGTGAACTATAGTGCATACTATGCATACTAGTAAAAATATTACTGGACAGATTCTAGTGTGTGAAAAATTATTGTGACAAAGGCCAGGTGATAGGGTTTGGCTACGGTGACAAAGCGTAAAAAGAATCAACTTAATCAGAGCTACGGTTTGGGAGATATGGCCATTTGAAGTTCAAATTCAAATCTGAATAAATTCAAATTTGAATCTGACAAAACTTTGCAGAAAGGATACCACTGGATAGATCTAAACATGACGAAAAATTTGTCGTTGGTTTTCATCGAGTTTGGATCTATGGTTAAAAAGTTGTGGCTACTCGAAGTTCAGGGACTAATCTGCTAATCATAGGGACTAAACAGAGAAGAAAACTATCGCAAACATGTCCCTGGCCACGTGGCGGATTGCGGGTGGCTAAGCAGCGTCCGCTGCGGAGGCTATACGGCGAATGGCCGCTAAATAAGAAAAACAACGGCGACGGCTAACTAAAGGAAAACCAACGTTCGGTTTAAATAAAACCGCACGGTTTAACGGGAACCGACCGGTAGTTTTTAAAATAAAAACCGCGGTTAACCACATACCGGTTTGACTAAAAAAACAACAACTAATCTAATCTAATCTAAGCCGTTGATCTTCGATCTAACTAACAAGAGGAGGTGCGGCGGCTTACAGCGGCTGGCGACGTCGGCGACGAGCAGAGGACAGCGGCGCAACGTCGGGCGATGGCGGGGCAGTGGCTACGGCGGTCCTCGGCATCGAGGAAGAATACGGGGAGGTGTGGCGCGTCGAGGGCATCGCGAAGGTGGTGTCGGCGTTCGTCGGCGGCGTCGGGACGGGGCGAGGCGAAGACGGCGGGGCTCGGTGCTCCAGCGACTCCAGCGTCGACAGTGCAGTGGCTCCGACGGTACCTAGGAGCAAAAAAACGTGTCAAACAGATGCTCGTTGTCGCGGGAATCCAATTGACAAAGGAAGGAGAGCTAGGGGTGCCACAGACGACGAAATGGACGATGGAGTGGCGCGGCTCCGGCGAGATGCGAACGGCGACAGCGAGCAGTAGGGGCGGCGTGGGAAGAAGCGGGAAGGCGAGGTTGGAAGAGGGGGTCCTGGCCTTTATATAGGCGCCGCTAGAAGCGCTACGGGGCTGCAGATAAGCCTCATCCGCGAGGGAGCCGAGCGGCGGTTGCGGGGGTGCGTCGAGGATGTTTATCCCGCGGGCTGCAGGAGGTTGGGGACGAGCTGACGAGCAGGGCCCGCCTGGCAGCGGCGGCGAGAGGAGGCGAGCGAGGGCGCGTGCGGGACGGTCGACCGACGCGGAGGCGTCGAGCGCTGGGGCGCTGGGGCGCTGGAGGGCGCTGGCCTTGGGCCAAATGGCCAGCTGGGACGGTCGGGGCGCTCCTGGGCCAAACCCAGTTTCGGTCCAGGCTGGTGAGTGCTTGTTTTTTAAAAAAAACGAAGACTAAAGTGGCCCTAAATAAATTCAAACTAATTTGCAAAAACACCACAATAATTTATAAAATATTGTACAATATTTAGAGCCTAATGAACATTAACTTCAGCACCGAAAATTTTGAAAATATTTTCCTAATGCAATTAATGCACTTTTTGCAAATAAAATAAATACCAATAAACTCCAAAACTTCAAATAATATTCAAAATAAAATTTCTCACTCTTTTATATTTTGAGGAAGTCGTCTTATCCCCTCTCATTTGTTTTTTTTCTCGAGTGGAAAAATATTATTTGAATATTTTAAAAACTCCAAAATGCAAAGAAATATGATATGCATTGAATGATGTTACATGTGCATTACCGAGAGGGCCCAGAGATCCCTCTCCGATACACGAAGTGACAAATCTTAATCTTGATCTATGCCAACTCAACAAACACCTTCGGAGACACCTATAGAGCATCTTTATAATCACCCTGTACGTTGTGATGTTTGATAGCACACAAGGTGTTCCTCCGGTATTCGGAAGTTGCATAATCTCATAGTCAGAGGAATGTGTATAAGTCATGAAGAAAGCAATAGCAATAAAACTAAACGATCATAATGCTAAGCTAACGGATGGGTCTTGTCCATCACATCATTCTCTAATGATGTGATCCCGTTCATCAAATAACAACACATGTCTATGGTTAGAAAACTTAACCATCTTTGATTAACGAGCTAGTCAAGTAGCTAGAGGCATACTAGGGACACTCTGTTTTGTCTATTTATTCACACATGTACTAAGTTTCCGGTTAATGCAATTCTAGCATGAATAATTAAAATTTATAATGACATAAGGAAATATAAATAACAACTTTATTATTGCCTCTAGGGCATATTTCCTTTAGCAAGTGATTCTCAAATCTCTCTTACGTCATCGACCAAGTGCTTGAATTTTGCTATGAATCGGTCGCCACTGGCAGAGCTAGAGGGGTCAAGTGGGGGCAAACGATGCCCAAAGTGTAGCGCCGGTTACGGTCAACCAACGCAGACCGGTCGAAACCATGACATAGTGGCAAAACCATAAAAGTAGCAAAGTGGCTTGGACATGACAAAGATTTTTTTGAAACTAATGGCAAATCAAACGGGTGGGACACAACTAAAGGCATGGAAATGATTATGCTTTTCTTCTTCGGGGCGATGATTTGCTACGTAGATCGCGGTCACTGGCATCATCTTGTCTACATTGATGATTTCTTAGCGGCTACTTATACAAGCTTTTGGGTTTCAACAAGTTTTCTACGCCGAGATGGAGATTCTGAGGCGACAACAACACGCGTGGGCGGATGTACGAGGAAAGGATACTTCGGCACCCCAAGGGTTCGGATGATTAAAAAAATTGTACGGTTATTTTTGTAAGGGTCTATATTTTTCATATATATGACTTTAGCCTTTTCACACAAAAAAAAGAGTTAAACCAATGGAAAAATATTTCATGAAATATACTATGTTGGGTTATGTGTGTAGGCTATGGGGATATAGAAATATACTATGTCATTATCACAATTTCTATATCCCCATATCAATGCCGAATATTTGAAGCAGACATCTTTACACATTTTGTCAAGTCTAGCTTTCCTCTTTGCTTGCAAAAGCCATGCAGTTACTATGTATGCTAAGGCTTAAGAATATCATGGAGTTGCAACAACCTGCAGTCTAGTTGCCAAAGAATTAAAGGCTTCAGATTTGAACTCCCTGCACAACCGCTTGGTGTACTTATACCTTACTTTAACATGCTCGTCTATTTAACATGCTCGTCTATTTTTTGCAGGTTGGTGCACAAACGGAATAAAGGCGATCACTACATAAGTTAAACCAACGGTTGGATGGTTTGTCTATTTTTTGCAGGTTGTTCATGCAGTTCCATCATGTGAATAGACTTCACACTATTTTCTTTCTAGAGTAACTTTAACATTCAGTCGTCAATGTAGATTTGTCCATGTACTACCAGACAGTAAAATTCTTTATCATGGACTACTAATATATAAAAATATTACTGGATTATTAATAAAAATATATTCTTAGTTTTTGGCAGATATAATTAGATTTAATATCATGAAAAGTGCTTCATAATATTTCTGGAATTTAAACTGTTCACTGACAAACTCAAAAAGGAAATTACAATCGAAGTTCTATGTTGCAGTTTTTGCATGTATATAAAACAGGCCAACATTTTTTCACTGTTATGTGTGGACAAAAGCTGCATAAAGCGATTTTGTTATTTCAGAAAGGTGACTATTATTACAAGTCAGTGTTGATGACTCCTCATCTTTCATGAGTTATGCATGAACATATATGATGAGAAAATCTTGATCTTATGGCTATGAGTAGTTGTCTAGAAATAACTGTTTCTAAGTCGATTTAGCCATAAATAGCCTTTTTTTTGTGGGTAATTTAGCCATATATAGTCCCTCCCAATTACTAGTAATTACTTCTGACTAGCGGGACGACGATATTCACCCTTTAGTTTGCAAAATGTGTATTCCATGTGAATGTGATCTTGCTGCCTTTTTTTTTGACGGGATCTTGTTGCCTTTTTTATCACAAATACACGTCTGATGGTGATTAGCACTTTTTTTTTACAATTGGCGTCTCAACAATCGGCCTTTAATAAGCAGCGATTAGCACACAACACAAATTCAAATTATTAACCAGAAAAAACCAACGATGTGCCACAAACCTTATTTGATCGATCAACAGTTCAACACATGATCATGTTCAACAGTTCAACACATTACACATGATCATCACAGTTCTAATTAAGGCCCTCCTTGATCTCTGCCATAAACAGTGCATGCATGCGCCTATCTAGCCAGTTAATTACCAATTAACGGCGATGCAATGCTCTAACAACACAGATCGATCGACAAGTTGATGGAGGCTGCAGCCGGCTGCTTCCTGCGATCGATCGTTCCATTGCCACGGTTCACGAGGACACGCCGACGCCGAGGAAGTCGATGAACGGTGGCGCATCCTTCGTTTTCAGTGGTTCATCGCCGTCGACATGGTAATCCTTCCTGTGCTGATGGTCAGGGCCGCCACGGCCATCCAACGCTAGTGCTTCTCTTGAAGGTGGGGAGGAGAAGGCGATGGAGTGAGAAGACGGCGCCGCCGGTTGCTTGCCGCCGTCCAGGTAGCTACTGTACCTTGACAGCAAGCTCTGGTTTCCTGAAGCGCCGTAGCCATTGAACAGTACTGGAGTAGAAGAAGGCGCCACTGCCGCCGCAGCCGGCGGTGAGCCGAAGAAACCGCCACCACTAGGCTTGGAGAAGCCAAAGCAGAAGGAGCCGGCCGACGCGCCGGCGAAGTCGAGCTGGGCGCCGCCGCTGTAGTAGGACGGGAAGGTGGACGAGGCGGCCTTGGCGAGGAGCCTGCAGCGCTCACGGCTGCGGCGGGCCCTGACGACGTGCCAGTGATTCTTGACGGCGTTGTCAGTGCGGCCAGGAAAATGGCGGGCGATGAGAGCCCACTTGTTGCCGTGGACTCGGTGCGCCGCTAGCAGACGCTCCTCCTCTTCCTCCGTAAACGGCCGCTTGTTGATCCGCGGGTCAAGCTGGTTGAACCACCGGAGACGGCAGCTCTTGCCTACAATTAATTACCACAAACTAGTTTTAAATATTCGAAATAAAATTGAAAATTTAGCACGTCAGGGAAATACATTCTAGCAATTATTAATAATGAAAGAAATCATAATTCAGTGCAATTCATTGACGAAGGAAGAATTCGTAGTTTTTTATTTATTTTGGCCAATATGGGGAATTCATGGTTAAGTAGTGCAATTTTGCAAGGACGTGAAATTCTGATATAGCACTGTAATGTTGTAGGATTTGTGGGACAAATTAATCGGGCGAGTAATTACATAATTAACGCACTCAAGAGAGTAGGTCAGGGCACATAAAGGTTATTGCGTACAAATCGATTTAGTTGCATCAACCTGCATGCATGCCTGAGAGAGACGAGTGAAGAAATCTTCTCATTAGGCTAAGCCGTGTAGGTGATCAACTCTTGACACATGCATCCATATATACATGGATTTTTCACATGTATAAACATAAAACTAACCGTGCTTTGCCTGGTGATTATCTAATTAATGCTGTCTCAGTGTTGCTAGTAAGAACACACCCTACCGCATCTTTTACATTAAGGAACTGTACAGGGTTTTAGTTATGTTGTTGCTTCCCTTTACCTCATACTATGTAACTTTTTTGTGAAAAATATTATGCAGCTGTATATGTTTTGGGAAAAAATTAGTTAAGTGAAACTAAAAGAGGAGATTTAGAATAAAGTTGCATGCATGCTAATTTCACCTTGTTCATGAATTTTGCAAGCTAGTAGTCATGCAAATAAAACCTTGTGTTCATAATTTCTTCTTCAATCTAGAACAAGTATTTCAGGGATATAACTAATTCCGAACTGCTAAAATTTTGTATGTTATCAATTAGACAAAGATCACTTAATCGTACCTGTTTGCCTTTATGGCCATCAGACTAGATTTATCTTTGGTCTAAGAAAAGTAACACTAATCTTTCCAAATTTCCGAAAATATTAGGAGAATTGTGTATCATTCCATTGAAGCGCCTTGAAAGATAGAAAAAGTTACATCCATAAGCACAGCAAGAGAACTATATAGGTACCGCAAAACAAATTCAACTCGTCATCGTGCACATTAACGAACAACTTATATGATCCTACTGTTTTTTGGGTATAACACAAAAACTCACTAACGAGGCATAATTTTAATTAACTTATATCTAAATAATCTTCTATTTTCAAGATACCCAAAAACTAAGCCCAGCGCAGATATCATTCCCCTCGAGGAAGGATTTTCTTGGTAGATGGCACAAACAGCTAAAACAACCTGCTGCCCGTGCAGAAATTAGTATGGCAAACCCCCCTAAAAAAAAAGTATGATAAACTGAACCAAGGTGCGTAGATCATCTACTTCCTGAGCACAAATCGCATCAACCAAAGTCAATTTCTCATCAAGGTTATATGCATCAACGTCATTTGAAAAAGGAAATTAAGAAACATTTCTTGTTGGAAACAGATCGACGATCAACGAGATAGGCCGGCAGTTTCACCCACCTGATCTGCCCTCGAGCTTCTCGGCTATGGAGTTCCAGTTCTGGGGGCCGTACTTCTCCACGAGCTGGCGCAGCTTCTCGTCCTCCCCCGGCCGCCAGTGGCCTCTCGGGCACAAGGACGCTGGCTTCCCGCCGCCTTCCGACGTGTTGGTCGTCGACGACGACGCCGCCATCGGCCTTTGCCGGCCGGAGAAAAGGCGGAGGATCGAAGCCTGGCCGACGAGAGAGCTCCGAGCTGCGCTTGAGAGAGAGGAAGCTAATGCGTTTTTGGTCCGTAATGAGCTAATGGCCACAAGTCAGAGGCGCGTATGTATATAGAGGTAGAGTGAGAGAGAAGGCTATGGTGTGTGTGTTAGCTTTACCCACACACACGCACGCAGGTAATGACACGCATATTGGGCTAGGGTTTGGGGAAGAGGTCCTTTTAGTTTAGTTTTACACGACAAGAGAGAGGGGGAGCTGTGAATGATGCATGCACGCTCACATACACCGCTAATGGAGTATTCAACATCTCTCTTTCTCCCTCTCTCTCTCGTGCGTGTGTGTAGGGCTAGCTACCGTGTGTCCATGTCATCTCTATCTCCCACCAACTTGCCCCGTTTGGCTATTCGCCAGAGACCACTCCTCTCACAGCCCCCATCCAACACAAACCTATCCCCGGCCGGATTACTTCCAGCTGCAATATTTGTACTTCTTCTCTAACTTCCCTAACAATATTCTCCCCCCTCCCCTCCTCCATATGCAACGCAAAGACATCATCAACTTTCTTAACAAACGATCTTATCTAAACAACTCCCTGCCCTGTTGTACGTCTTCTTGACGCTTCGTTTCAATTACGTATGCCGTTTGTTCTGACACCTATTTATATTACATCACAGATCAAACGGGACTTTTTTCTTATGATCTTATGTTCCATGTAGTACAATAATTCCTCCATATGTACGCATCTCATTTACACCAGATGAAAAAGTTGAGAGAGGTTGTTATGGTCAACATCTGGGTGCACCCCCAAGAGGGCAAACCGTTCTATCCCAGCCATTACAGCCATACACAAAAACAGCAGCCGTAGTAATGGCCAATGAGCTAGCACACACACAAGGAAGGTGGTTGGCTGCCTGCATCCTGCAGAGCAGAAGCCCAAAACCTGCAAACCTTTGCAGCATGGGATGTGCTGCAGAAATGGGATGCATTCAAGCGTTCCATGCCGCCCACTGTTCGTTTTGTATGGGTGGTATGGAGTAACATGCATATCTTGATGTGAGCGAGAACAGTAGATCGGTACATGCATATGCACTCTGCGCCGTAAATGTGACCATCACCATGTGGCCTGCAGGGATGTTGCTCTGCACTATTAACTGCTACGTACGTTTGATGTACACATGTAACTAAGCAAAACGCATGCGCTCTCCAAGGGGTGTCCGGTGTCCTGTCCTTCACTGGTACATTCAATTTGTACTTGCAGAACAAACGGTAGAAGGGTGAACAGTTTATATTCACAAAATGGGTTCTACAACGATTTTCCAGGAGACCGGAGAAAACATGAACCATAGAAGCATTTAGGAGACTAGATTACAGAACCAAAAAAAAGTCAAACCTGTGAATATATTAGTTGCTATAATACTGGTCCTTCCAGTTTTGTCTTTACATGTACAAATGGTCAATATTTTGCTCAACTGTTTGCGAGTGAACATCTTATAGCATATATATGGTCAATACTTTGCTCAACTTAACTGAAGCTGCGCCAGCTGCCAGTATTAGAAAATGTACAAGAGTGTTGCTGCGTAGAGCAGAATTAACACTCATGCATAGCTTTGTTCTGGTATGACTTGGCTTTTCTTTGGCGTTCTTTTGTGTGTGCGTGTGTGTGCGCGCGCTGGTTTTGGTTGTCTGCATCCTAGCTATGCAAAAGCTGGGTTTGTGCCCATTGTGTATGTATCTCCTGCTTGATGCCTCATGTTGAGTCAATAAAATTCGCTCATTGTCGCAAAACAGAGTTAACACTCATAAAAAACTAAAAGGCTTACTGCTTGGACGTTCCTATAACTAGCCCTAAGAATATAACTAAAACTGATCAACCCTTCCACCCAAATATGTAACATTGATAGCCCTTGTTTGGTTTAGCAAAGCAAGCACATATTTATGCAAATGGAATGGGAAACTGCTTAGCATAACTAAGTGGGGAAGTAGGCCCCAACAACAATGGACAAAATGCACATCCGTAGCAAACTGCGGAAATCTGATGCAACCACTAACCAAAACATGCACTACACATATATATTCCTTCCTAGATGCAAGTGTGAAGAGACAAATATATCTCGGTTTTTTTTTTTTTTTGCGGGGAAAATATATCTCGGTTTTTACTGCATATACAAAGTGATTTTTTGCTGACCGAGACTTTTTCAATTTTCAGGGTTTTAGTTAATTAAATCACCAAAAAAGTACCTTCAGCTCATTGGCTATAAGTAGCCTATCTGCAACAAGTATGACAGTGCCACCTATTTAAACGTACACTTCGCGGATGCACCCGATTGCAATAGCTTTCCATATTAAACATATGGTCATACATCACAAATACGCCCCCCTAAATTTTGTAGTCAAAGTAGTTTCACCCGTGAGATGCCGACGTTGAAAATTCGGGCGCCAACGACCTATTAACAATGACTTGAATACAGTTTCAGGTTACGAATTCCGTTCTAAGAAAGTGTGATTGATAACGCACTCGCAACCGCTAGTATTATATGAACCATTGTTTAACTAGTGCATAAGTTAAAACAGGTTAGTTTGTGAGTCTGACTTGGCATGTGTTGAGGGTGTAGCTTTAGCTTGCTGCTTTGGAATTAGAATCGGTTCCAGAAAGGTTTTGGTGATATCAACAGGTGTTGTGAACCTTGAAGGAAAAAGCAGCCAAAGTTACCACAAGATCAATGTAGTGTTACACAAGTTTTAGGCTGGTAAAGGATTGAGAGCTTTGATAAATCATGACTACAAGAGCTAATTGAAGAGCTTAATCAGAATCATCCTAACTAATATAACATGCAATAGGCACACATGCAGTCGGCATGTCCGTTGATCGTTTCGATCAAACTGTTTTAATCTAACTATTTTCGTTGCGAAGGTTCCTAATCATTTGCCATTAAGTAGTCGACACGATGACATGGATAATCCCAAAAAGGAACCAAAAGAGCTCCCCAGCTGTATAGCTGACATGTCTAGAGGGAGTTGTACAGCTGGCCACGCCACATTCCGGACATAATAATTAACTGATTCCGTCAGGCAACGCTAATTTTGGAGATTGACACGCTAACTTTTCTTGTATAATTGTGATTGTTAAACGGTATGTTGACTCAGCTAGGGAATTAAATAGTACTAACACCCACGTGTGCATGATGGAGCCACCTAGGAGCATGAGAAAGAACAAGCACTATCTAATCGACACTTGATATATAATAATGTCCAAAAGAGATGAGAGATTTTCAGGCATTGACAGGGACTTGCAACCAATCCCCTGAAGAGATGGGAATGACAAGAAAACGGAAACTCTTACCAAAGTACATATGATTTCGTATCATCTTAAACAAGGAACCGAAGGTGTAGTGTACTATTAAACTATGGGGTGTGACCAACTACTTGAGATTCTACAATGGTTAATGAGTATGATTTTGGAAATTAATTATCTATTTGTTTTTTTGAAACAGAGGCATAAGATTGGCTTCATCCATTAAATAATGAGAGAATAGAGTTTAGAGTTTTACAAAACACCCCACACAAGCGGCATGCCAATTACTCACACATGATATGCTGATCTGACACCTCCTCCCCCACCCCCCGCGCGTGCGGCAGCGTCGTGCCGCACCGGGGCAACCCCGCCGGCCGCCTCCAGTAGCCACAAGCGACCCCCACCTCCTACCGCCGTCGCCGAGGGCACCACAGGCTAAGCCTGTGGGCCGCAGCGGCGGCGGCATCAATCCTCCTCAGCCCGCGATTGGATCTGGGTGGCAGCGCTCTACTCCGGCCGGATCAAGGGAGGTGGCGCGGGCCGGCGGCGACCAGGGTCGGCGTGCTAGAGCCGGTGACGGCGAGATCTCCGCGGCGGCGGCTAGGGTGCCCGATCTGGGCCCAGATGGGCTTCAGCGGGCCGCTCCACATGCTGTCGTGCATCTCCGCTGATCCGGCGAAGTCAAGCGGCTTCTGGGTTAGACCTGCAACACGAGGACGTCAGGGGCTCCAGCCCTGGACGTGGCAGTGGTGGCCATCTCCTTCGAAGGAGGTGGTTGGCCTGATGCTAGATGGGCAGATCTCGAGATCCATCATCTTGCTCCAGCTGCGAGTCGGGAAGACATAGTTGCCAGTGAAAACCGAGCCGATGGCAGGCGATGGCGGCATTCTGTGTCGTTACCTTGATGAAGGTGTTGAGGAACGTAGTAATTTCAAAAAAAATCTACGCACACGCAAGATCATGGTGATGCATAGCAACGAGAGGGGAGAGTGTCGTCCATGTATCCTCGTAGACCGTAAGCAGAAGCGTTATGACAACACGGTTGATGTAGTCGTACGTCTTCACGATTGACCGATCCTAGTACCGAACGTACGACACCTCCGTGATATGCACACGTTCAGCTCGGTGACGTCCCACGAGCTCATGATCCAGTAGAACTTCGAGGGAGAGTTCCGTCAACACGACGGCGTAGTGACGCAGGGCTTCGCCTAAGCACCGCTATGATATGACCGAGGTGGATTATGGTGGAGGGGGGCACCACATGGCTAAAAGACCAATGATCAACTTGTGTGTCCATGGGATGCCCCCTGCCCCCGTATATAAAGGAGCAAGGGGGAGGCTGGCCGGCCCTAGGAGGGCGTGCCAAGAGGAGGAGTCCTCCTCCTAGTGGGAGTAGGACTCCCCTTTCCTAGTCCCACTAGGAGGGGGAAGGAAGGAGTGGGAGTCGGGAAAGTCAAGGGCCCCCCCTTCCTTGTCCTATTAGGACTCAAGGGGAGGGGGCGCGCGGCCTGCCGTGGCTGGCCCCTCTCTCTCCACTAGGGCCCATCAAGGCCCATTAGCCCCAGAGACTTGTGCAGGAAATATTGAATATTCGGATATCCTAGAGACTTGGTGAGTATTCTACATGTGCAAAACTAGCTTGCACCCATTGTATGTGAATGTAGAGCTTATCACACC